CCAGCCACCCAAGCTCCCAGTGGAGGCTGGTTGCAAGCAGGTATATGGGATTTATTTATCTTCTCTAATTGAAACTTTGTTGCCTTGAGCAGAGGCCACAGCCAGCCAGGGCAGGCAAGAAGCTTGGCTTCCTCCATTGCCAGGGCAACCAAGCCTCCTGCTTGATCCAGCTCCGTGGCTGCCAGCTGCCATCTTGGTTGGGTTAATTTGCATATATTAACTCTGATTGGCTGGCGGGCGTGGCTTGGGGTGTAGCAGGGGTGCAGTCAATTTGCATGTTTCTTTTTTATTAGATTAGATAGGATAGGACAGGATAGGATAGGATAGGATAATGTCTTTGGTTTTGGTATTAGGGTCATGTTGGCCTTGTAAAATGAGTTAGGACGTGCTCCCTCTGTTACTACCGCTGAACAACAATTGGTGTAAGTTCATTTTTAAATGTTTGGTAGAAAGCCTGGTGCTTTCTGTTTTTGAAAGTTATTAATTATGGACTTAATTTCTTTAACAGATGTGGTCCTGTTTAAATCATCTGTCTCTTTTTGTGTGAGCTTTGGCAGATTGTGTCTTTCAAGGGAGTAGTCCATTTCATCTAGGTTATCATATTTGTGGGCAAAGAGTTGTTGAAAGTATTCCTTTATTATATATTTTTTAACTTTTAAATGTTTTTTTAAATTGATTTCAGAGAGAGGAAGGAAAATGGAGAGAGGAAAATCCCAAAATATAAGGAGTAAAACAACACACTTCTAAATAACTCATGGGTCAAAGAGGAAAACTTGGGAGACATTAAAAATATTTTGAAACAAATGAAAATGAAAACTAAGCCTACCAGATTTGGGGATGTAGCAAATGCAGTGCTTATGGCAGCTTTATTCATAATTGTCAAAACTTGGGAGGAATCTTGATGCCCTTCAGTGTGTGAATGGATTATATTGAAAGATATTTGTCATTATAGATTTGTCCAAACCCATAGAGTGTACAATACTAAGAGTGAACCCTAAAGTAAACTGTGGACTTTAGGTAATTATGATGTGTCAATGCAGGTTCATCCTTGGTGAGAAATGTAATATACTGCTGAGTGGTGTTGATAATTGGGAAGGCTGCGCATGTGTGGGGTAAGGGTTATAAGGAAATCTCTGTACCTTCCTCTCAATTTTATTGTAAATCTAAAAAAAAAATAAAGTCTTAAAAAACAAACAAAACTAAGGCAGGTTTTGAAGCAATAGAGTAAGGGAGTTGAGCTCCAGAGTCCCTACTCTTAATCACCGAACAAGGAATAAGTATGTAAATCCTTACATGCCTCAAACTGCAAACCTGGGAATGGCAGAAATAATACCTTTTGGATAAAAGAAAAATGCGTGGTCTTTTGTTTACCAATATCAGTCTTTATCACATAGCTGTGGTTTGACAATACTTATTTCTTTTCAATAGACACTAATGCAGGCACTGCTGGAAATCATAGAGACGGAAACAAATGAGCAAAGTCCAAACTACGGGCTGCTACTCCTTTGGGCTTCTTTGTCCAATGCCATCCCCGTAAGTATGTCAGTAAAGTAAGGGCTGCATTTCCGTCTATGCACTCCCAATGTTCCCTTCATTTTCCTTCCTTCCTTCCTTCCTTCCTTCCTTCCTTCCTTCCTTCCTTCCTCCCTTCTTTCCTCCCTCCCTCCCTCCCTCCCTTCCTTTCCTTCTTTTTTAATTTTTTGGTACCTACCTCCCTCCCTCCCTCCCTTCCTACTTCCTTCCTTCCTTCTTTCCTTCTTATGGGGAAGAAAAAGACTGCAGTAGAGTTGTCTGTGAGGTAGAAAAATAAGACTTAGTATCTAATGAAGTCTGATAAGATCTCAGAGAAGGCAAAGTGGAGATCAATGGGAATTCCGTGTCTAAGGTGCAGCATGTCACAGGCTAAGGAAGAAGCTTTCACTCTGGGTCAGCTGTGACAACACCTGCTTATGGAGCACTTCTCTGTCGGGCAGTGTGCTTAGCATGGGTGCTGCAGAGACAAAAAAGGCTTGACCCTTACCTTTCATTGGAGAGTGAGGGGGTCAACAGATAGTTTCAGATAGAATTGCGCTTGAATCCAGGTATCCCCAGTCACAGCTATAGAATCTCACGGAGGTAATTTCAACTCTGAGCTTCCATTTCCTTCTCTGTAAAAAGGGTATAAGGAAACTCCTAGTGAGGTCCTAGATCAGTGACGGTGAACCTTTTGAGCTCGGTGTGTCAGCATTTTGAAAAACCCTAACTGCACTCTGGTTCCATGTCACATATAGAAATTTTTTGATATTTGCAACCATAGTAAAACAGACTTATATTTTTGATATTTATTTTATATATTTAAATGCCATTTAACAAAGAAAAATCAACCAAAAAATGAGTTCGTGTGTCACCTCTGACACGTGTCATAGGTTCGCCATCACTGTCCTAGGACTTGGGTACTTATTAATAGTAACTCTCATTTCTCTGCAAGGTTGTTGTTGAGGATTCAAGATAAGCCCCTCTGGTACCTGGTGAATATGGGTTCTTTGTCTTCCCCATCCACTTCTCCTCCTGTGCACCTCCTGTTTTCATTACCTGCCATCTTGGACCTGTAAGCTTCCCTATAAATGGAGCTGGTGGCATTGGAACGCACAATACCTTTGAAGAGAGCGGACACTGTGTAACTGATTTTTATAAAGCTCTTATGAACTAGATTAAAGCCATGAGCTTTGTCTGCCTCTTCAGGTTCGATGCATACCGGCTTCCTGTGTTGGGAGGATTTCACATTAGCCTAAGCTGCATTTATATTTCCTGAGAAATTAAAGGATGACCTTTTTTATACACTTATTTTTTCCTTACCAGGAACATTCAGATCATCTATAATGATAAATGTGGTCATTTTTCTTCTTTTTCTTTGAGCAAAGAGAAATAAGATATGTTAAGTATTATTTATATCTTCTTCCTCTTATGAAGGTCAAGGCTAGTAAAGGCTTTCTAACTACTGACATTCTAGTTTCCTTTAACCTGCTTCAAAACTCATTGGGTAAAGAGCAGCAATAGAAATTTCAGCCTCTCTGCCCAAATGTGTGTCAACCACTAGAATATGTAAAATAGTCTAATTAATCCTTTTCCTTTCTTTATGTACCAAGAATATTAATCTTTGATTTTTCCTTATGTAATTTTCTTGGAAGCTGATGAACCAATAGCAAAATTAAAAAGGAAACATGAAAACAACTCCCAAAGCAGCAACAAAACAGCCACTTCTGTCACAGGATTGATTTTCAAGATCCCATTAGAACGGTCCCCCGGAAGACAGGGACACAAAGCCCCATTGATCTGACTCGGGGGAAGTCAGCGCATTGGAATTTGTTCCTGGCACTGATCTGAAAGGAATTAAATCCTTAATTGCAGAAAGGAAGTGTCTGATGATTGTTCAAAGTTCCATCTTGCTGGCTGTTGTTGGCACTCCCAAGGGGCAGCTGGTGTGTAGGCAGAGACCCTAGAAGGTTTTAGGTCAGGTCCAAAGCTAAATCCCAGTACTGGGTGACAGCCGGTAAATTGTTTAACCTCTCTGAGACTCGGTGTCCTCATCTGTAATTTAGATTTAACTGGAGGACCAGTGCACAAAATTTGTGCATGGATAAGATCCCTAGCAGCTGCCAGCTGCCAGCCAAGCTTCCCTTCCCTGGCCACTGGTCAGGGTCTTCTTTCATTCCATGTCATCCCATGGTGGTCAGCACATCATAGCAAGAGGTCGAACTCCCAGTTGGTCGAACTCCTGCCCAAGGGGACAATTTGCATATTAGCCTTTTATTATATAGGATGATATCTCCCTCATAGGGTCGTTGTGAGAATTATATTGGTAGTAAATGGAAATAGCTAACTGTCCATGGCACAAGATAGGTGCTCAATAAATGTTAACTTTGTTCACTTATAAAAAGCCATTTTCAATGGTCCATTAGGAATCAACTATTGTGGCTTCCAAAACGTGACCGCTCACATGCCCCAGGGCAGGAGCGGCCCCTGCTGTCCTGGTTTCTGTGTTCTCCCATCACTGCCTGGAGAGCTGCTCCATGTGCCTCTGTTTATGTGCATTTTTAGACAGACAATCATTTTTTCATTTAATCTTCAAATGTGTACATGATTGCAGAAAGTTTAAGATCAACATACAGTGTTATTAATTACTAGCGGCCAGGTGCATGAAGTTGTGCATGGGTGGAATCCGGCTGGCCCACCCTAATCGGGGTCGGGGGAAAGGACGTGGGAGGTTGGTGGTTGACCTCCCGGTTGGTCAACTCCTGCCCAAGGGGACAATTTGCATATTAGCCTTTTATTATATAGGATGATATCTCCCTCATAGGGTCGTTGTGAGAATTATATTGGTAGTAAATGGAAATAGCTAACTGACCATGGCACAAGATAGGTGCTCAATAAATGTTAACTTTGTTCACTTATAAAAAGCCATTTTCAATGGTCCATTAGGAATCAACTATCGTGGCTTCCAAAACGTGACCGCTCACATGCCCCAGGGCAGGAGCGGCCCCTGCTGTCCTGGTTTCTGTGTTCTCCCATCACTGCCTGGAGAGCTGCTGAGCACCTGCCAGAGGTGTAGGTGGCAGGCGTGACATTTCTTGGTTCCCAAATACCTTAGCATTTGTCCTACTCTGTGCTCTGCCTGGAGGCCCGCTGGGCTCAGAGCTCAAGCTTTGAATAGATTTGGTACAGGGCCCTGGGAAGCTCCATTGTCACCGAGGTGAACTGTGGTGGGCTGGCCCAGATATTAGCCACAATTTATGAAATTGTTCCTATGCTAAAACTATTTCCAAGGTCCAAGAACTTTTCAAGAACATTTTTGCAAGTCTAATCTCAAAACTGACATTTTTCCTTTTTTAAAATCATCTTCCCTGAAGCCCTTTTCTAAACACTTTCCGTAGTGACCTTCACTTTATTGTCTGTGCCACCCATTCCCTCTATAGCAGTGGTTCTCAACCTTCCTAATGCCTCGACCCTTTAATACAGTTCCTCATGTTGTGGTGACCCCCAATTTCATTGTTACAAATTGAACATAATTAAAGCATAGTGATTCATCACAAAAACAATATGTAATTATATATGTGTTTTCCGATGGTCTTAGGCGACCCCCAAAGGTGTCGGGACCCACAGGTTGAGAACCGCTGCTCTATAGTTATTATTTTCATCTCATATCCCCAACTAGAAGTGTAAGTTCTTTGGGCAGGAATTATGACTTATACCAATTTGTGTTTATCATGATTGGCCAAAGACTACTAACATGTTATAGAGACTCCATCAATATTTGTTAAATCATTTTTTTGAATGAAGGGATAAATGATGCTCAATTCATCGTTTTTATGACACAGTGAGGCAGAGCTTTTCTCTCTGTCCCTATCACCTTTGTTCTTACCTCTCCAGAGCAGTGGGAAGGGAAAGCAGGGTAGTGGCTGCTTCTGAAGGTCACTGAGCCAGCGGCCCTTCCCCTTTTTGCTCAGCCCTCACCATGGACTTGACCCCTTTGGCAAAACATTTATTGGTACCTTTGGGAGCACTTTTTAACTCCTTTCCCATATGTGGGTGAACAAAGACCTCAAGGTCACTTCTTCTTGTTTGTTGATTCAGTAATGTATATAAACATTACTTTTGACTTTTTTTGCATGCCGTTTATTTTTTTAAAGTGATTTTGTTTTCTAAGTAGAAAATAAAGATTTTTATTTTTAAAAATAAAAGCAAAGTCTGTTAAAAACATTAAAAATTATCACTAGCACCATTATACAGCTATTTATAGTTTAGCTGAATTTCTTGTATTTGTTATAAAAAGGTATTATAGGTGAATCTCTAAAAGTCTAATTAAGCACATACAATTTTAGGCCCTTCTTTCGCATAACTCAAAATCTATGTATGACACTAAGCCTTCCCCAAATCCCCCAGCGTGATCTCTGACTCTTTAAATAAGATGAATTGAGTATGGAGTCACTATTAATTAAATACAGTAATTCAGCACTTCCATCTATGGAAAATAATAGAACAGGCCTGAGTGGGGAGGCAGGAGAAGAGAGCTCTCTGGGAGTCTTACTCCTACTATAAAACCACACTAGATGATCCTCTCTAGGGTAATTCTTTTGTAATCTGGAAAATGCCACAGAAAGCGGCCCCCCATTGTAGTGAGTGGCCTGGGTTTAACACAATGATCCCTTCCCTGCAGTTTAATGTCTTAGAGGGGAAACAATAAGCAGCATTGAACTTGACTTTGTGGGAGCACTTCCTTTCACATAATTGCTCTTCCACTTTTGACCACAGAGGGGAGTATTAGAATTATTTTAAGGTCCCCCAAGTTACTTCACAAAAGGGATAGACTTAAGTGACAGGAAGTGTTGTCTGGGTCCTATTTCAGGACTGGTTTTCCTAGATGAAATTTCTTTCACAATACAATATTTACTGAAGAAAAAAAAAAGAAAGCAAAATTCAAGCTTCTTTAAATGATTTTATGTAGGTTTTCTATGTTGTGTAACCTAAAAATAGAAGTAAAAACATTTACCTGAGTTGAAGAAAAGCTAGTTTTTGAGATGTGTTGCAGTATAATTTTATTTTATGATATTACAATGAGGAAAGATTTGAAATACTTCTGTTTGGTCTGGAGAGAGAACTTGCAAGAATACTGAGTACGGTTATAACCTATGAACTTTCGAGCATGTCATTATGTTCAGTAAGGTATGAAAGGACCCCATTTTTTATATGGAGTACTCTCATAATTTAGTTTGAGATTTCAGATATATTATCTGGGGTTTACTTAAAATTGCCATGCTTCACTTGCAGAGTATATGATTTGACAATTCGTTTGTATTTCAAGGAAATTAAATCTTTAAAATGTTTTTATTTTGGACTTGGATTAACAGTTTTAAGTGGCATAATTTTTTGTTCCTAAATATTCACTGTATGCCTGCCCTGGCCAGTGTTCTGAGTGGTTAGAGTGTTGGCCCTTGCACTGAAGGGTCTCAGGTTCGATTCCCAATGAAGGGTACATACCTGTTGCAGGCTCTATCCCTGGCCCTGGTTGGGGTGTGTTCAGGAGGCAACTGATCCATGTGTCTTTCACATTATGTTTCTCTTGC